TGCCTGCCCTCTGCCCACCATTTTCGAAAATAGTCGCCAACATGTCTCGGGCATAGCTTCCATGGTTCGCAAGTTGGCCGAGCACAACCGCTGCCCAGGTTGGCCTGTGTGACGACGAAGTGTTGCCCGTTGTAGTAACAGACAAGATGGACTATGCTACTGCGGTGTGAATGCAACCCACACAGCTCGGCTTACTTAGATTAATCTGGAGCACTGCTTCCTCTCTCTGTTCATAGTATACAATCATGTCTTTCTACACTCCTGCTTCGATGCGTCAATCAAAATCCTGGGCAAAGTTGCTTTCGGAACCACACACTCTGCACCCAAACTAAGTAGCCAACCAACCCCAGGAAAATATTACCGAGCCGACGTACAATGTAGAGCAATGACGATTTCAGGAAGAAAAAAAAACCAACACAAGCCGCATCTCAGCCCGTGTCTCTCATAGATCCCACAAGATGTCTGTTTTCGGAAAATATCGGTCTGCATGGCATAACCCCATCGTATCAGAGCCAACGGCACCAAAACGCTGAAACAGATAAGCCAAGTGCCCAGGGACCAAAAATCCCACGGCGGAAAAAAAAAAGAATCATAATTAGTCAAGATGCATCTGCTGGCCAACAACCGGAATTCCATAATTGGAACTACTGCCCCCCCCTACTGGCCCATTTGGAGAAACTTTGGTCCAAAGAGGCGGTCATCTTTACCCATTCCATACCATCCATATGTTGCGGTCAGCAGAAGCCCTTCCTAACCTGACCCTTGTCCTTGTTCCACATGAATGCATAAAATCCACGTTCTATTTCAAGGGGCGAAATGATGGACGAAGAAGCTTAAAGAGGGAGTAGAAGAGAATCGGCCAAAGAGAAATAAAATAGGAGCTTCCCACAGGGGGTGTGCGACATGAACCCAGCCATGGAATCGACAGTCTCGTGGTCCCCAGAGGCTGGTTAGTGAGCACGGCATCAACACAGGGTTCGAGTATCAAATCAACTATCCAGTTTCCCGCGGGGAGTATATTGTCCATCTATTTTTATAGCTTGACGAAGGCGGCGGCCTAGTCCAAGCGGTGGCGATGAGAGACGCACATGATACCCAAGGCAGTTCTAGTCCTATCATAGATCGTGCCAACAGAAGGAAACATCTCAAAAACGACTTCTGAATTGTCAAATGGCAAAAGTGCAATCAGAAAAGTATAGGTTTTGCAGTGTCACGACGCAAACCATTGAAGCACGGCATGTGGAGAGGGAAACAGGCATGCATCACATGGAGCATGGGAAAGTCGTACTCTGGTTTGGTCAGGCCACGGTGCATAGATAGGATACGTGAGTGCATAGCCCCTGCGTCTGGATCGCGCTTCTTTTGGAAAGGAAGGGGGGGTGGTTAAAAAGAGGACAGTCATCTGATGGGGTCTGCGTTGGGCCGTTGGGCATCGAGCGAAATGTGTTCGGAGGATATGATGACACAGCATATGTAGATAAGGTGGTTCCAGGTGCATTTTTTTGATCGAGATCTTGACATATGTAGGGATTGTGAAGGGTATGGATGTTGAGGTGAATCATGATATGGCTCTGGATACCTACCTAGGTACCTAATACTCTTGATGATGGCATTGGAATATGTGGTACTAGGTACATTGCAAATGCCATCCCAAAGCATCACGCAAACTCAAGTCCAATTGAACAGGATTCGCACAAAGGTGATGACTTTGTTGCCAGTACAGGCAGACTCTATTTATCCACCTTTCGATGATTCCAAAATGCATTCCGTCTACTACGCTCCGCCATTTCTTGATTGTTTCTATCCTCCTCATGCTCACTTATGCTTCGCCTAACCATCCTGAGAATCGAACTCCATTTCGCAACTCCTCTGGCCTGCAGTGGACACGCCCTCAAACTCAGAGCAAAACGTCATATGTTGTTTTCCTGTGTATCCATTCGCCCATGCATACAAGGCAATGCTGTTCCCAGGACAGCAGCCGAAGTTGTGTAAATAACTCAAAACAGATGCGATACGCCGAAAGAAAAAACGACTATACAGCTTTACTGAGCACCTGCAAGATGAAGGAGTCGTTCGCCAGCCCGCAAGTTAGCATACTCGTAAGCCTTAGACTCAGGTGGGAACGTCCCATTTGCTGCCCACAGGTCAATCAGGGCTTGCATCGGCTCCAATTCCTGCGGTTTAAGCATGTCCAGCGCAGTTGCTGTCAGAATAAAGTGAGAGAAACAGCTATTGAGTTGTTTTTCAAGGTTCAGGTGATAGAAAGGCTCGGTAAAATGTGCCCAGTAAAGGTGGGCGTACACACGAAACATTTGACGGAAAATCATCTGGCAAACTTCGAGAAACTTCTCTGGGAAGCCCGACCGTTTCCCAATGTATTCGGCCTCTCCGGGGTTGGAAAGTTGAGATAAAGGCGTCGTTGTGATGCTGGGGTTGTGGGCGTATGATACACCGGAAGGGTCTGTGGGAAAGATTGCGGTGTCGTCAATTTTACCCGAAATCCATCTTTGCATCAACGTCATGTACTCGTACGCGGGAAGTTCTACAGGCTCTCGTCTGTTATTCAGCCATGTGAAGGAATGATTTCTGTGTACCATGTCAGTGTTTCCATCTTGGTGAAGTGTTGACCGTGTTGACACTCACGCTCCAGCAGACATGCGAGGGCAAGTGGTGGGGTTGCAAATGCTTGTGCCGTCATCCTCTTTCTCATGAACCACGCGCACAAAATTCCACAGGTTTCGATAATGCTCGACAACTATCTCGGACAGTCAGCCGGTCGGAAGATTATAACATCATCACTCAGAACGTTTTGCATACCTTGGTGGGCGATCCATTCTCCTTGCTCCACAGTCTTTGGTCGAGCACTCAACGTCATAAAGTTTCCTTTGACAATATGCTTGACATACTGGGCATTAAGCCATAAAGGTAGCGGGCGGGGAAGGTGGTAGTTATTGATGATGTCTTCGGCGTTGGACATTCCGCTACTAGATGCGTCCATTCCGATCGTTTGGGCGAGGGATGGGGAATTTGGCAGAGGCGGAACCTTGGGAGCAAGGTTTGTCGAGGACTGACTGCCCTGAGAAGCAGTGTCAGCTGGCACAGGCGGGCCGCCTGTCGACGGAGATGGGCTCTTTTGGCCGGACGGCTTCGTTGAAGCGCCTCGGAATCGAGCGTTGCTAAGGATCCAAAGTTAGCAGTAATTTAAGCTTTGTGCAGGCTAATAGCTGTCGCAATGGTGTTTCAGAGAACAATGAGCACACCCTGAGGAACCCATGTCCTCCGAGGTATGCCGGATTGAGGCTCTTTCAGGTTTCAAGGACGGCTCTGCAATAGATCTTGCAACATATCTCGTTATCTAGACGCCGGGGCCCACGCAAGAACTGATGCGCGGCGGGCAAGACGCTGTCGGTATTGAATGGAGGGAGCGTCTCGCCAACCTGGTCTACCAGGCTATACCTTGCCAATCAGTTTTATCTTGAACCACTTGACTCATATGGAGAGGAACGCAGCCGGCCTGCAAGTAATTGGCAAACGGGCGGTGGCTGTTCGGGAGTGTCTCTGATACAGGCATCGAGAGTCTGGACCGCCTTCTTGAATCCCACTTCACAGGCCCTGTGGCATTATAAAGTATACAGCCTCCATCTCGGGCTAATTGCCGGTATCGAACGAATAGAGATGGACCTGCTGAATAGAGGCTCAGAGGAATGGGGCTTGACCTTGGACGATCCAACTTGCTCCTGGCGGCTCTTGCTTGAGGGCCTCTTCTGTCTTCTGTAGCAGAGAGGCTGACGGCAGAGAAGGTATGTATTGAATCAAAAAGAACAAAATCAACCAGAGGAAATAGCACAGTTACTTACATCCCGGAGAAGAGGTTGGACATGATGAATGAAAAGGCGGGGACTGAGATGGAGGGCGGCAATGCAAAGGAAACACCAGAGGGGCCGAAAGCTCCCGTCACGGGATCTTATGCGAGGCGGCGGACACGCGGACAAGGCTGTAGGAAGAGAAGGAATGAAAGCAACCGTCGGCGTGAGGCAAGAAGCAGATACCACCCAAGAAAAGCGGCGTGGACAATTGCCTAGTATGCAAAGGGATTCTATCAGGAGTCCACGTCTGGTGTGCGAGAGAGGGGGACGGGGTCCTTTACGAGACGGTAACGGCCAAATGTGGGGTGCCGCGTGCTGATTGGTCAATCTGCTCAGGTGCGTTCGAGAGGCGCAGATAGATCCAGATCCCTGCCGCGGTCTGGACACACGTCGCGCCAATGCCTCGCGCCAGAAGCTTGCTCTGCTCAAACGGTCTGGGAACGATACTTGTCGTGTTGAGAACCGGTGGCGCGACGATATTTCAAGAGCTTGCGGCACGCACTGGAGGCCGGAGGCGAAGAGTTCACCTACAATGCTGAAGTGACATGAAGCCAGCAAGGAATGCCCGGCCTGAGCTCCATGTTTGGTTTGACAGTTACGGAGTACAACGCCTCCGAATGAATTGACCGCAGCGCAGGGGCCTCATCAGCTCACGGCTCAATGCTCAAAAATATTTGGAACGATCATCTACACATCTGGCGTCTATTGTCCAGTCAGATGGAGTTCGGGCTGCTTCCAGTGAGAGGTCGGGCAAGCAATGTGTGCGGGAACGCCATTACAGTTAGAGAGCTTCTTCAATGATTGAATGCATCGAATCAGACCAAGGAGCCTGTAAGAATTGAATCTTTCAAACCTAGATAATTAATCCTGATTTTTGTTGCATGCAGTGAGCCTTTTAGAGGAAGAGGTCGCCAAAAGGTGCAAGCCGTGAGACTGGGCTAGTCTGGATGTGGCCCGTGCGCAATTTTGACCTCGCTGCTGCGCGCTTGCGGATGGCTGCCGTTTACAGTTCTGCGCAACCTTCAAAATCTCGCCCTCCAGCAAGCTCAACCACTTTTGGCCACATTGTTCAGCTCCTATCGACTACGAACCACAAATTTCAACTCGTAGTTTGCAAAAGCAGCCATTAACACCATGTCTGACTCTGAGGACCCTCTCGATGGTCTCGACGAAACCGCCGGCGATGACCTCTTTGGCGATGAGGGCGACGAAGAGCCGAGAGCGCCGCGGGTCCTGGACGATGACGAACTAGCCTCAGACCCTGATGAAGATCCCGATGCGAGGCGACGAGATTATGATGGGGAGGATGGTCTGCCACATGAGACGCGAGATCGGGTTGTCATGGCGGTACAGACGTATCGCCATCAGATCCCAAACCCCAAAGACGGAATTGTAAGAGGGCCTGAGTTATTCATGACGCGATATCAATTGTAACCTAGACTGACTGTGCAAATCAGCTTCGTGTTATGAGAGTCCCTAAATTCATCAAATTCATGCCCGAGGAATACGTTGCGGAGACCTTCGAGCCAAGCGATTTTGATCTTGCCAATGCGAAATCCGACAGACCGAAACACGTCGCTCGTATACGAAAAGATGCAAGCACTGGAGATCTACAGAGCAACACCAATATTTACCGGTGGAGTGATGGCTCAGTGACCATCTCTGTCGGTGGCGAGCATTACGAAATACAAAAGAAGGCACTCGCGCCGGGAATGGACCAACCATACAACGAGCTTAACGATGGGCACAACTACGCGGCGGCGGCAGAACTCGGCAGCAATCTACTACTGACTGTTGGTCACTTGACGGAGCAGTTCAACGTGCGGCCCAATAAGGCAGTGGGAGATGACGCGCTGTCGGTATTGGCAGAGCGGATGGCACAAGCCAGCAAGTCGGTGAACGACGGTGACATGATTATCCGTACCACCAGAGACCCTGAATTGCAGAAGAAACAGGCCGAAATGGCAGAAAAGGAGAGGATGAAGGCTCAGCGTCGACGCGAAAACGCTGCGTTGAAGATGGATGGTGGACTCGGACGGTCTGGTCGCGGGGGTCTATCGATTGGAGACCTCGAAGGTGGACGTGGCTTTGGATCTGGACGCAAGCGAGGCATGCCAGGATCTACGAAACCGAAGAAGCGCCGGCCAGAGTATGACTCTGACGACGATCTCCCACAGGGTGTTGGACGCCGTGAGGACTACGATTTGGATGACGGTTTTCTGGTGGGAAGTGATGAGGAAGAAATGGACAGTGCAGCAGAAGAAGATGATGAGGATATATTGGATGATGACGAGGAGGAACGACGACCTCGCAACAAGCGACAGAGGACAGCGGATCCAGATGATGATGAGGATGCTGAAGGAGATGAGGTCGAACCTGGCGAGCCCTCTGCAAGAGCTAGGCGGCGAAACATCATAGACGAGGATGAGGATGAGTAAGGGGGGTTTTGGAAGTGGAAATGGCTGTTTATCATGGAGTCTACTTATTATCTATCCTGTATAATCACTCATAAGGCGTCGAAGAATTTGGAAGGGAAAACTTGGAACCCAAGCAGCACATCATACATATTAAATGTGTTGACGCAGTTTGAGAGAAACCAGGCAGATTTTCCAAGGTACATGTGCGTAGACCGTTGACGCCGTCATGCGGCCGATGGACTCATTGTCTCGCAAAACACAAGCAAGAACTCTCGGTCCGATCAAGAAGGCAATGGCCAAGCTATGATATCGACCGGGCCGCAGCCGCTGGAGCAAAGATTTCCGGCCTGTCGCATCTGTTGTCAGTCGATTGTATCGTCTCAATGTTCGACGTGATCCGAAATTCTAAGCTAGGTACCTGAGAAGTGGTGGTGGTGTGGTGGTCCCCTAGGTATCGATAGGTAATGTTAAGCGGTTCCGGGTGGTGGGGGGTTGTTTTAGCGCCTCCATCTCCGAAGCTTGGGCAAGTTCATCTCATCCCTGGCATCAGTCACACTCCCGTGCCATCTGTCAATCACATGCTCACCGTCCCGAGTCGGAAACAAGCCTTGACTTGCAGGCTCAGCATGTGCCGCTTGGCACCAATTGGACAAATCAAGGCAACCACACTTCGCCATCTCTCGCAGAGCCTTAAGATGCTGTTTCCAATCACGCAGGCCTCTGTCTGAGAGTAGCAACCCGTCAACATTGAAGTCTCTCTGGCGACCAGACCCACCGATCTACATTGCCCAAGTGTTACTATCGGCTGCATGGCCTGTGATCTCGTCACCCTCGGCACATCATGGGGGCTGTCCTAGCTGTCTGGAGGGTGATTGTGGATGTTGGCACGTTCTGGATCAAGGTTGGTTTTAAGCTTCGCGTTCCTTTCTTTCAAAGCATTTTTGTTTGTTGTCTGTTGCTTATTTGCCGTGAGCCTGGCTGGCTGGCTCGTCATGGCTCTCCTACTGACGCCGGTACAGAAGCTCGTGAGCTGGTATACCAGCAGGCATCCTGTGGATTTGTGGCTGGAACTGTTGCGCAATGCAGAGAGCTTCGAGGATTGGGAAGAGGCCGCTCTCCATTTGGATAGCTTGCTTGGTTTAGACTTATGGTAACGCGACGCTTCACCGACCATGCCGATGCACTGAGGAACGGCCTTGCTAACCATTTTCTTGGTGGTGCAGGAGGAACAACCCTACGTCCAAATATTACGACTGGAGGCTCATCACCGAACGCTTGCATTCTTTGGCTGTTGCTCGTGAAGAGAGCCAGTTTCAGCAATTAGTCAACCTTCTCCGATCCGGCCTCATCCGTAACTTGGGAAATATCACTGTACCTAAGCTGTACAATCGATCCTTCTCGGGGACCAAATATCTGATTGAGGAGTACATATCACAAGTCGCCGAGACTGTGGATGACATCAGCACACTACCAACTACATTCATGTCCAACTCGCAAGGCGGAGGGAGCGTATTAACGAATCAGATGAAACTCGATTTTATTCATGATACCAGACAGGCATTCGGCCGGAGCACTCTAGTCCTGCAAGGTGGATCCATCTTTGGATTATGCCATCTTGGTATTGCCAAAGCCCTCTTCTTGCGCGGTCTCCTTCCTCGCATCATTACTGGAACAGGGACGGGTGCCCTGATAGCCGCCTTGGTGGCTATACATACAGAAGAAGAACTACCTAGTATCTTGTCAGGCGACGGCATTGACGTCTCGGCGTTTGCATCGAAAGGCAGGTCAGAAAGTGGAGTGATACCCCGTGAACAGACGTTCAAATCGAGATGGGCGACGTTGATGCGACGACTGCGGAGGTTTTCTCGCGAAGGATACTTTTTAGATGTTACAGTGCTGGAGGATTGTGTAAGGGCAAACGTGGGTGATTTAACCTTTGAAGAGGCCTACAATCGGAGTAAGAGGGTCCTCAACATTACTGTTGCGACGGAGAGTCAGGGTGGCGTGCCGACTCTTATGAATTATATCACGGCCCCGAACGTTGTGAGTTACTCCGCGCTCCCCAATCCACGCGTTATATCTGAGCATTCAACTGACAGTGCGAAACCAGTTGATATGGACGGCCGCCGTAGCATCTAATGCCTCGTCTCCCTCGCTCTACGGCTCCCGCAAAGTCAAAATCCTCGCCAAAGACGTCCACGGCACCATCGTGCCATGGGCCGCTGCCAATACTACCAACTTCCGCCACTGGACACACACCTCTTACACGGACCGGGACTCTCCTCTCCAACGCATCGCCGAACTTTTCAATGTTAACCACTTCATCGTCAGCCAAGCCCGCCCCTACCTCATCCCCTTCCTGCAGTCTGACATGCACGGCCCGTCGCTCCTATCCCGCAGCAAAACCACACAACTCTCCGCATTTCTAGTCCGCATGGTCGGTCTCGAAGTCCGTCACCGCTTAAGACAACTCGACACGCTGCGACTACTTCCGTCGAGTATTAGGCGATTTTTGGTGGATGAGCGAATACCGGCGGCCTCCATGACGCTGGTACCAGAAGTTACGGCCGGGGACTTCGTACGGCTTTTGGAGACACCGACGAGGGATACGCTGAATTACTGGATCTTGAGGGGCGAGAGGAGTGTATGGCCCGCGGTGGCGGCGCTGAGGATTCGATGTGCCGTCGAGAATGAGCTCGATAGGTCGTATCAGGTGGTCAGGAAGTTGAAGGCTGGTGATTTGAGGAGGAAAGGCAGCATAGCTGGTGTGGAGGCCTGATTGGTTTCGTGTGTTTAGTGGCATATTTTTGGTTTGTATATTTTTGCATATGGGAGGCGTCATTGGAGTGGAGAGGCGGTCTTTTGGGGCTTCTGCTTCTTCTTCTTCTTCTTTTTTTTTTTTTTTTTTTTTTTCTTTTTTTTTTTTTTTTTTTTTTTGCAAAGGCCCTAGTAGTAGTACTTGAGGCGGCATTTCGTTCCACTTACGGGCAATAAAACGAACTTCTGAACCAAAATCATGCAATAGTACGTGTTTGAACATGTGTTCGACGTGAACAAGACTGCGATATGATGGGCATCACGAATGTCGGCGAGCCTTATTCCCAATACAAGATCACATTGCTACAACAACAGTACTAACTAAACTAGATCGAATGCAACCAGAGGGAGAGATATCTAGGAATTTTGGCTGGTAAGTCACTAGCTTCTCGGACAACTTACTATTACCACATACCTAGGTAGTAGTGGAATATCTTTGCTTGTACCGGATGATAGACGTACGCATCTACACTCGTACCTAGGCAGTTGGGAGCAGGTAGCCATGGACCTGTAGAAAAATTTTCACCTCCTCAGTATTACGCTCTGTATGGACACGCAAGCCACATGTCTTAAATGCCCTCTGCTGAATGTGCGTCGCATGATCGTCTTATGACAGTGAGTACTAGTGCTCCAAGATGTTACTCGAAGATGTGCCCTGTTGCGCTATTAAATTCACCGCCCAAACAAACAATCGTTCAAATGATAAAAATGTCTCAAACCCGACTCATATAATGCATGTACTCTGTACTTTGTACTCCGTACGGAGGCGTGAATCCCGATTCAGCGCATTTTTACGCTGGTGAAGTTCCATCGTTGCGGGTTCAGCCGCGGCAACCTGGTATGCCATGGGACTGACGTGCGGGAAGTAGGAAACGTCCCAATCCAGAAAGGAGACTGTGGATGATATGCAGCACGTGGAAGACGATGAGAGTGCTAGACGGAGAGGAAGTGAGCACGAACCATGGGCAAAGTTATTCGGTGGGCATCCTCAGATACCGATGTCCAGAAAGGAATTGAGACAGAGGGGATGTTGCATCCGGAGAGGAGTTGACAAAGGATTGGCAAAAAAAAAAAGTTTACTCCTGCAGGGAACTTTACCTGGACGTTATAGCATAAAGGAGGATTAATGAATGGAGGATATTTGTGGGCTGTTCTCTTCAGCATCGTGGATAAGGCTCTCCTCTCGTCCGGTTGGTGCTGCCGTAGGCTGATTTTTGTATCCAAATCAACCAATCCGCTGGCAGGGTATTTCCTGAAACTTATTCATCTTGTTACGCACAAACTATTTTGTACGCTGTCGTACGTCCACCGGAGCGCATAGGAACACATGTTACCAATGACCGGGACCATGGGACACGAGCCTTTCCCTAGGATTTTGTGATGGGTACTCAACTGACGAACGAGCAAGGTCTGAAACAGCTTGACTGTTTTCGTCTCTTGTCTACTCCGTACTCCGTAGGTTGGAATAATGGGGAAGAAAAGTCTGCATGTCCCCATACCCCATCCGAACACATGAATTCACGTATCTGTAAGAATAGCCGTTGAAGTTGCGGAGTAGTAGTAACTGTGCAAAAGGCAGCGGCCCGCCAAACTGAGTAGTAACCCCTTGACCGCGGTCAGGGATCTACAGCATCGGTAGTTGACCTGGATTGGTCCGATGATCAGGCAACAAGCAATGGGGACGGAATCGGCAGGGATAGTCCCGCGTGGGAAACGGCTTCATTTAGAGTTGACAGCAAAAGACCCTGTCTGAGAAAATTTTCTGGACACAATTGACGGGCGTCATCGGCGCTTAGATGCCAGCTGAAAGAGTCCCGGTACCAGCAAACACCGGCCAAGGTGGGCAATCGAATGGCATGTCCTCTTGGTGCCCTGACACGACTGGGCAAGATCTGGCATGAGCGACCCGAACATCTGGTCTGGAGACGGGCTGACAAGGTTCGCTGCAAGTCCCGAATCGAATCCTGTGAAGGGGGGGGGGGGGGGGGGGGATGAGAGAACAACAAACGGTCATGCATAGTGGCGTACTTTGGACGGAGGGCACCCTTCCAACTGTATTTGGTAAGACGGGTTTCTCCAAAGGAATATGCAGTTCCAGATGAGCTGGTAACATTCGGATGGACGGTGGGGGCCAGAAGTTCCCATGATCGGGGCGCGGGTGCGGCACCGGATGTGCGACCAGAACCAGGGTTGAAAAGTTCAGCTTCCTCGCATCAGCTAGGCTGTCGACGGAGCACGGAAACAATATTGTACAGTCATGAAATAGTCAGCAGGTCTGAACTGAACGGAGGGCATCGAAACAGTTGCGCCTTTACGCCGCACACTGCATGGTGGACTGGCAGCAAAAGCAAAGCTTGTCAGCCCCAAAGACGATTGACCGGTGGTCAGGGTGCTCTGCGTTCCGTGCTCAGTTCCGAGGACAGGCAATGCAAATATGAGGCTATCCTGAGGTGAGCTCGTCGTAAAAGATGCAAACCCCCCGCAGAGACGCAAGCAACCATAACGATAGCGCCTGCGCATGCATACACTGGACGGCGCAGCAGTCCCAATAACTGGCATGTTGGCATGTCGAGTTCAACTCCATACTCCGAGATTTGGACAAGGACGGTTCGACAAGGGAGTCAGTCCACCCACAATCGACTCGGGTCCTAGCTCTGACTAGCTCTGAGGATGGCTGCACAGCATCATGATTGGGCGCCACTAGCAAGGTCCGGAGTCCCAGTTGCTGATTGACAGCTGGAATCCTCGGAAGTTGGTGGTGGTGGGCTGCTCTGAAGCTCCAGAGCTGGCCCGACGAGACCAAGACAGGACCGACAAGAAACATGGAGACAGGTAGGAAATGCACTGTCCGGGTCCATGATGCGCGTACGGGGTATCATTCACCGGCCGTACAAACTAAGAACGGACTGACCTAGAATAAACGCAAATGAACTAGGAAGTGGGAGGTTATAACGGCCGATCCGGCCGCGTGAGTGAGGGAGCAAGCATCCCACTCCACACTCTGGTGTTAAACTTGACTTTGTTTCGATTCAAAGCACCATATTGCCGCCGTGCTCTCGTCGTATCGTAGCATCCTCTCCAAGTCTCATCCAAAGGGCATGTGAGGTCAGAACCATGGCCGCTGCCGCATCTACTAGTGTCCCGGTAGACGATTCCAATCGCGAGACCGGGTACAACCGCTCTGCTTGCACCGAGTGTCAGCGACGAAAGCAAAAGGTGAGTGCATATCGAACCGCGAATGCCAGCTCCTGAAAATTCAAAACCACACAATCATCCATATACACCGTCGTTTCTTTCCTGCTTCACCCAATTGACAACCAGCCATGCTCCGCGGCGGAGAATGATGGACATGCTGCACAGCCTTGGTAGAAGCAGACGTCATGGAAGAATGAGCGCGCTGCTTCACCTGAATTGTACCCAATGTATGCTGGTGAGCCACAAATAGCAAATCCAACTAATGCTCTTTTCTTTCAGTGCAATCGTGAGTGGCCATGCGATCGGTGCCAACGACGCAAGATAGCCGATGAGTGCCGTTATAACTACTCCAACCCGATGTTGGACACACCAGCCCACGACCTGACGGAGAAGCTGAAGCGGACGCACGACGATTATTCTAATCGGGGCACTGCCGAAGCCGACGATGAAGATGGCACCGGATTTGACGCATTGGCGACCCGTCTGTACGCCACATTGGGAATTGATCATGGAGTGGTATGTTGCACATAAATGGTTGCTTTTGATCCGATCGCTGGCTGCTTCCCATCCCGCAACCCAGCAGATACGGCAAGTTGTGCACGCTCTTTGATGTCAGTCGATCTAATGAGGCGAATTATGATGCTGCACAGTCCGAGAAGCCAGCTCCCAAGCAAGATTTTGTCGCTGCCGACTCCTCCCCCCAGATGCGCCGAGTTTTGCAGCTCCTTCCCCAGCGACAATCCATGGGCAAGTCCTTCCTCTTCCGGCTACCTTGCTGACAATTACTTCTCCGAATTATAATCTGCTATGAATGAATTGATCATCTAATCTGATGCTTCCTTTATACAGACATTCTTATGCAACATTTCCTCGGCGACATCAACTATCACTACTACATCATATACCCACCCGTCTTCTTGCAGGACTATCACATCTGGTGGGATAGGCGCTCGCAAAGCCGGCCGCTGTCGCTCCAATACACATGTCTACTGGCTATCATCTGCGCGTGTGCTCTACAGCATGTGGAAAATGCCACCGAGAAGGCACTGGAGAGGGAACTGGGAGATACCATGGACGTGGTGTCTGATCAGCTCCATGCAGCCATGAGAGAACTTGCCAGTGTCATCCCCGTTGGGCACTATCACTACCTCAATGTCCAGAGGCTCTTGCATTCTTGTTACTGGTATAAAGCAGAAGCCAAGTTCCTCGAGGCATGGCACGTTTTAAGTGCTGCCATTTTGGAGGCCAATGAGTTGGGCTATCATAAGGAGCCCGCACGCGGTACCGTCAGTGAATTTGACCTCGAAATGCGCAGAAGGTTATGGTGCATTTTGGATACTTGGGACTGGTAAGCTCACCTCTTTTTTGCAGCTTGTGTTTGTTTGTCTTCTCCTTCTGCCTCGTATTGACTATTCAATGCCAGGCAGATATCCTCTGGCCTATCTAGACCCAAGATCATACATCGAGCCGACTGCGATGCCGAACTTCCCGAATTAACACTGGAGGGCCACATTGTGTCTCCCCTGCAACATATGAAGATGCAGTCCGGTTTGACTCGCCAATTAGCGTCGCGGTTTAGCGCCCCCAAGAACATAATTTCCCCGTGTGAAGTTCAAGAGTACAAAGCCATCATTGAGAAATGGGTGGACGATTTCCCACCTGAATACGCGTTTGAGAACCCTGACACTAGCAAAGATGATAAATGCGCCTGGTTATTTTCACACAGGTTTTATGTCTACACTATGGCATGTCTCTTAATTTTAAACCCAATCAGGCATTATATGGTAAAACAGTACACCTGGAATTCTGACCCCGACGAACTCAACATCCGATCCGTTGGCGTTTGGTATAGTCTCAAACTGATGAAGACTTTACGCCGATGGGTTGATAAGATCTACAATCGTGACGGTCGCTTGCATTTCATCATCTTCTCGATTTTCGATACTGCTGCCATCCTCTGCACCGCAATTCTTAAAGACACAGAATATACTATATCCAATCGTGCCGATGTCTTGGCATCTATTGGCGACGCCGTCGACATGCTTAAGAAACTGAACACGATCTCAAAAACATCCAAAACCTCCTACGACATCCTTGAAAGACTTGTGAGAAGACTACCCGAATCCGTCCCTCGCAGAGACTTGGAACGTCAAGTAAAGCGCGCGAGGGTTAATATCAGATCACCGCCACCATCTGGCCCTACCCAGCACGAAAGGTCTTTAGTTCCCCAAGTGTCTACACCCGTTGTGCCTCCTCCGGCTGCGGTAGCTGCCACAAACCGGTTTGAGAGGCCTCTTGCTGAACCCATAGCTGCCGCCCCTCTACCAACGGCTCCCATGCCAAACTCCATGGTAGCGCCCATACCCGCCCAATTGGCACACCAGACGATGGCAACTCAGCACGTCAACTACAGTAACAACGGTACTTCCGAGTATGAGAATCAAGAGATGCCGCAGAACGTCGGCTATATTTCATTCAATGACCCAGGAATGTCGATATCCTCCCACTTTGCGGATGAACCGCAAGCGTCACAAAGGTGGCCAAGCGGCTCTGAGAGTCTACCCCCTCCTCCTATGGACGAGCATACAAGGCCCTCTTTCACCACAATAAATAATCCTACAGGGTTGGGCAGTGGCATTTACCAACAACAAATTGTTGACCCAGGTCCAGAATTTGACATTGAAAATTTGACAACTGCCCAAATGGGAGAATTGGCTCCTCTTTGGACCTGGCACTCTGAAAACTTGGACTTTGCAAATATGGCCCCGCCAACACCAGGACCCAACGGGTACTCAAGGCCAATGTGAGGTAACGAGGACCATGAGCCATGACTTGTTAATTGATACTTGCTGAAGTTTGGCTGGATACCCGATTAAGTCTCTCTTGGCTTGCTGCTTCCAGTCCCACCATTTGGAGCTGTCTCGGGGACTTAGAGTTGTACTTTCAGGTCCCTGCTTGTCAGCAGTTTTGGAGGGCTGACAAACGGTCTTTATCAAAGCACACTCACTCAATGAAGGCAGTTATTTAATACGGGAATAATAGCCGATACAAGATGCCATGCCTACTGAAAAGCAGAGAAAGGAGGGAGGAGAGAGAAGGCAGAAAGCCGTGGAACGTGGACGGCTGCAAGCTTAGGAAGCGGCGGGCCATTGTCCGGCTACGTAACTTACTAGCCATCTCCTTGATTATAACTCACAGTCCTTTGCATTTGGCAATGTTCCGTTCCCTCGGTTTATCCTGTTATGTAGCGTGACAAAACATTTCTTGCTCAGTTGGGACAGGTCCAAAGCCGGTCGAGGCTTCCAACTCAAGACGTATTTGGCCAGCCACCATTTATTGAACGTCGTTAATTCTCGGGGCTGTTCAATACCATGTTTGGCATGGTTTCATTCTCGGTGAACCCGACAGAAACTAGCTTGCGTGGCCATGATCTTGTATGATACCCATCATCGATACAGTACAAATGAGATGACTACCCGCAGATACAATAGCAGCATCACTACATTGGCTGCCTTGCGCATTGAACTTGCATTTGAGGGCTTCCTGTACGTGTGTGGGAAGCTGGGAGAAACTGTTTGTTTTACTCCGCTTCGGACGCGCCGAACCTTTTTTCATTGACGGCCACCATGAACAGAATCAGCTGCCAACATGACTGTATGGATAAGCCATGGCCCCAGCAATTCTGGAGCTGGAGGGTGATCACAGTCCGTTCTCGTGCCGCCATGTGTGGGAAGCATCCCCCGCGATGTATCACGAAATGGGCAAGACATGAGCGATTTTACCATGCTGATGCAAATCCAAAGCGGTCTGACAGACGAGTCGACCGGGGACCCAGGGTCCCAACAGCCGTGCCGTGTTATCCTTTCCTCGGCCAGGTCATGATGAAGACGCACTATCCAATGCTGTGACATCAAGGGGCATGGATAGTGAGAATCGTGGCCCCCATAACGAGCCTTGCATCAAAGATATGCAAAGTTCACTCATGGTTGATCAGCTGAACCCGATGTGGTAGGCTTCGAGAAGCGGCAGAAGAAGTGGGCGCAGTAGAAACTGGGCGCAGCAGACCAGGCTTTGTGGAGGGTGTTGGTGGCTTCCTAGTGGTCAATGCCGTAGACTCGGGGGGTCGCTGGAACTAAAACGATAAACGCTAATGTGGGGCTGCGATCCTCAGAGACTGGGAGCAAGCCTTCGTCTCTTGAAAGACATTGTATCGGCTGCCCAGCATCACAACAATCCCGTCCCGTCTTCATCAACCTGGTTTCCTAGTGTGCAGAGCCAGAAAGGTGGTGGCACGGCCCCTCATCAGGAACATGAACCCCGTCGTGCGTTTTGTATGTATTACTGCACTCCTGCCAGGCAAGCTACCAATTGCGTAACGAGGCTCTAGCCATCTTTTCTCTCTTCTCTTGGCGCTCTTGTCAAGTGATGGCTTCTTTGTCAAACTCGCTATGCAAGGTGGCGGCTGACTGGTTGCTCTTTGGAAAGGAGGTCAAGATTTCCAAGGATTTTCCAAGGCTGTTTTGGCCCCTCAGGCAGGAGCCATCCAAGGAGGGTTGGATAAAAGTGCTGAGCTATTATTATCATCAATCGCATGTGCCTGAAAAATTAGTCACACTTACTTGGCAACAGCGCGGGTTTTCCCTCTTGATGTGGTTGTTTTGTCTTTTTTTTTTTTTTTTTGAGCTCTCTGGTTTAGGACACCGACACCCTCCCGTGAGCGCTGCATGCAGGCGTATGTATAATTAGCCACATCGTACTTTGTACCCATGTAATGATGCAACTAAAAGTACTCACATTCGGTACTGCAGCGGCGGTTGGACACATTCTCATTATACCCGGTACGCTCTAGGGAAAGGGGCATACGACACTTCTGCATCCAATCGACTGCCCATCGCGAAACATACACCTGGAGGTGCTGGGGGCATGGCCTGCCTGGAGCCCATGACGTGCATTCAAGAATAATCACTCCGAGCCGAGCCACGACCCGACTAGGTTAAACTAGGTTTGATTCGTTTGCCGTCCGGCTAAGTGTGCGGGAGCTTGGCTTCGGGTTGGAAACTGGGGTCTTTGTGTTGTTTTCTCTAGCCGATTCCAAGGGAAGGGGACTTGGGTTGTCGGCACCTTGTAAAGCCTCACTAGTGGTGTGGCAGGGTTGACTGATGATGTCTTCTCCAAGTATGGAGCAGACGAGTTCCAGAAGAACCGGGCCATAGCTCTCTTATTATTGGCAACCGTTCAGCTGCGAGGGGACGTGCCCAATGCGCCTTGCCGGACCCCAGCGATCTTGTCGGAGCTCTCCTATTGGGACGATGGCATTACTTCAACCATCACGTAAATTACCAAGACTAGCCTGCTGGCGAGCCACTTGGACAACTCAGGATAAAGAGATGCAGCCATTCGAGAATTTCTGTGGCGTCTGAATGGGGCGCCGATATTTTGTTTGATCCAAGTTTCGTAGCCGGCCATCGGAGAAGCTCCCCCCTACCTGGTCAATAATAGTATGCCAAAAGGTTCGCATCGGACATCTTACCCGGCGTGAACGCTTCCTGTTTTACAAACAAGTCAGTTCATCACGAATGGTGGTGCCTAAGAGTTACCTAGGGGTTCTCTCTCTTTAAGCACAGCCACGACAGGACATCTATCTTGCACTGGCTCTGATCACAGTCAAGCCTTAGTACTCTAGAAGTCCCATACTTTCCTGGGACCTTGGATGCTGTCAGAGATTCAAGTCTCTTCTTCCCGTAAATGCTTGATGATTGAATCCCTCAGCCGGAAACATTGTAATGATGTCGACACGGATGGAAATCGTAACGTGGGTCAGCGGTCGACAGGGAACGAAGGGAACAGAGCCAAGGTCCGCCGGGGAGCAAAGTGAGGCGAAACCGCTGGGACATGGATGCTGGACGACTTGACATGACCTCACCGGGGTATTGGCAACACTCGCACAACCCCTACCCGCAGTGCTTGTTGACACTTCCCACTGCTGTTGATGCTCGTTGGTCCAACGTTTGGTGCCAGCGATCAAGCCGCCCGCGTGACATGCGCTTTCAAGTTTCCCATTGCCGCCGTCCATAATTTTGGCCCAAGCTCTGGCCGATGCAGGCCGATGGCCACGGGCTCCATGTTGGCCCCTTGTTGGCTCCTGCGTCGACGTTCGTGCAGACTATCGCTTTTGCGTCAGCCAGCCTAATCAACACTTGGCGATCCATCCCCCGGTGCCCGACTCGTAGCGACTCGCAGTGACTTACCTGCCAGTGCTTTTCCATGGTGAAGTCTGGTGTCTCAAGCTACTCGCGGCCTGCTGCTTGCTCGTCTTGCCCTGCATGAGCATATACATGTCAACTGCTATGTATGTGCATGTCCTGGGACTGCAAGTCGCTTTCCGTGGTTGGCCCTTCCCAGCTATAAAGTCACAAAGCACCCGCCTACTTCCTTCCCCCAAATCATCCGTTTTGGAGCATTCTGTCCTTCACAGTCCATCTTCTTCCATAACCAAGCACCTGGAATATTAAATTTAAGAGGCTACTCCCATCTGGAGTCCTTGGAAATTCCAACACTCCCTCCGCTTTGTCTTTTTCTCGTTGCTGCCGACCTTCCTCAAATAACAGCAAGCAACTTACACTCGTCCCCAACCGACACGATCCAAACGAAAACGTCGGGGGCATTCTCTTCGACCTTAATTGCAAATCGAAGCACTCATTCTACTTCGGCCGAAGCTCCAAAATCGCTCTGCGAACAACTCACCTGAGTTGTGAGAATGCCCTTCCAACGCTCTCGCCGTGCCAACCTAGCTCACCGGCCTCGACCATCAACGGCCTGCCATGTCACCAAATCTCCTCAAGGCAAAGGAGCCGATTGCAAGCGGGAAGAAGATGGCTACAACGTCGATGATGCCAACTCCTTTCCGTATGTGAATACATATCCGTCTTCGTCGTCTCCATCTTGCTGTGACGACAGCACAGACTGGGTCATAGTCCAGACAGACGGTGCCCCACAATCCAACTGCAGTGACGACCTGCACAGCTCCGGACCTGCGCAGGAACTGACGGCAACCAACGTTCAACTCTTCGATAATTTAAACAGCACTTCTGCCAGCATTTGTGCCGCCGGTGATAATGATGGCCGTCGCCGATGCCACCGCCGAAGGCCAAAATACCGCCGAGGTAGTGCCAAGACAAATGCCTCCGTCGCTACGCGAGAGTCTCATCAGGCTGAGAATGAACAACATCTTGACCCGTGGGCCCCGATAAGCGTCGACTCTTATGAGTTCGATGTCTTTGCCGTTGGAGCATGGGCAATGGAAGGGGAGACTGGGCTAGAGCCAACATACAACTACCCAAGAACATTCTAAACTTGATGACAATGTTCACCATGTTTTACGATGTAACGAATACTCAACGATACCACATGTTTGTTTAGTAGCAGGTTTAACCGTTATTTCTTTTTTTTTTTCTTTTTTTTTTTTTCTTTTGTCTTTCTTTCCTAGGCAACCCATGTTTGACAATCAATATCATCTCTTTCCTGAAGTGGCTTTGGTTTGGTCTGGGCCTATCGGATTGTGGCTTCACGTGTGCTTTACTTTTCTTCTTCTTTTCTTACTTGTCCTTTTCCTTTATCGTTAGATATACCCGGTGCAAACTTGCAAGACGTCCAAGATTCTGGGATAACACAATGCTTGGGATGTGGAAAGGAAGAGCAGTGAGGGATATATTCTAGGCAGGGAAAAGGGACGTCGCATTCGAGCTTCATTTGATGCCTGTACCAAGACATGTTTGCGATACTTTGTTTCAATTTGGATTACAACGATTACGTTTGGCCATAGTACTGTTTAGTGTAATTCATATTCCTATTTTTCGTCATTGCCAGCCGTCCCTTTGCGGCGTGGCAACTCCACGTCAGGCATGATGTGCTTCATGAATACGTCACACCAATCACGGGAGGATGCATCACCGCCCAACACGCAACCATGTAAAGTTGCACGTTTTACCCCAAGGGATCGTGTAGCGTACACCAGGGTACCATGTTCATGCAGATGTCATAATGTGGAGTGAAACGTCAGCCAGTTGACGACATGCAAAAAGAATATGGAGTACGCGCCGTTAGATAGTATTAGACACGCTACTCCACAGTCTTTTGTTTTTCATTTCCCTCCTATTTTGCCATTGATCAAGTCAGTCATGCTCTACGTGGCACGGGCAATATACCAAGATTAAACTTTCCGATGGGAAGGGACTCATCTGATCGGGAGAAAAGTGGGCAGATAACTGATATCTGATGCAGTGAACAAACACTATTCTTCACCGTATGAAAGATCGGCAAGGGACAAAAATTGGCCCCAGTTTTTACAGATTTGTATTATACCATTACTGGCAATATGCATAGAACTAAGAGATACATGTAGCGAGGCAATCATAGCAGTGCAATGGCAGCAGTTGAGCGTAAAACGAAAAACAGACATTGACAATTCATGCTCGATGCTCCCTCCCGCTCTCAAGTGAGTTACAACGCAATTACGCTGACTGGGGATTATCAACTACTAAAGAAGTGTGCCGCGTCCAATTACATAACCCATCAGTTTAAAAACAAATACCCATCTCGTTTATTCGTGAGCGAGGTTAACCGAGATAAGCGAGAGCTGCAACGGCGCCTGCAACGAAAGCCATGGGAGTGGCGCGGACACCAGCGTTGGGAACAGTGGTGGTGGCGGCGGTGGTAGATCTGGTGGAAGTAGATGAATGGGCTGCGTACAAGGTGGTTAGCGGATAATTCGTCGTCTGATTTTAGATTAGGAGTGTTTTGCTCACAAGTCGCGGAAGAAGGGGCCGAAGTGGTGGAAGAGCCGCTGGCCGTGGTGGCAGAGCTGGTGACGGTAGAAATGGTGGTGCTCGCGGTTCCGCTCTCAGTAGAGCTCTCCGTGCTGCTCGCAGTGATGCTGACAGTGGAAGACGCCTCAGTAGAGGAAGCAGTAGCAGTAGCGGAGCCGGTCGAAGAGCCAGTCGTGCTGGCGGCAGAAGCCGTGACGCTAGCTCCAGTGCCGAGGTAGGAGAACTGTTGAGAATAGTTGTACTCCTTGTTGGCATTGTTGGTGATCTTGAAGGCATAGGTGCCAGAAACAACGCCCTCGGGGACCCAGGCGAGAGAACCGCCAGTCGCGCTAGCTACGAGGATGTTAGCATACAAGTTCAAACACATCTGCTCGGGCATGGATGCAAACTTACTGGAAATAACCTTGTAGTCCTTAAGGTTGGTATTGGGACCGTCCTGAAGGGTGATGGTGCAGCCGCCCTCACAGCCGTCGAACTTGAGATCGAATGACTGGCCCTCGGTAATCTGGAAGTTGCTGTTGAGGAACTTGGGCTTTTCGGCGGCGGCGGCCAGAGCAGCCAAAGCTGAAATAACGAGAGCGTACTTCATTTCGAAAAACGGTAATCTGCAAATGACTGTGAAGTGTGCAAACTGTCAAACAAAACGCTAGTCAGCAAGAAGATCTTTGCATCAATGTCATCGGCCCCTGTCTTGGATTTATTCGTAGCAGACGAGTCAAACGCAAGCCAGGTTTAAATGTTGCCAAATGTCGATTGGCCGCAGAAATACGAGCACTTGGAGCTGCCAGTTGGCTCGCCTAAACGAAGTGGCAAGAGCAACTACGCAGCTGCCTTTACCCAAGCTAGGGTGTGGTTCTAAAACCGTGCGAGACCAACGTAGGCTAAGCTGAAGACAGGAGTTTAAAACTCTGCTGGTCTCAGGAAGAACGAGTGTCGACGGTTCTGGCTCCGGTCCGACTGAACATCCAGCAAACGACGATAGTTGGAATATTGGACGCCACAGGACACCACCCCAAAATAGCACTTGCAAATAATGGCCGATGGTTCAACAGAAAGAGCCGGTGGTGTGCGGGTATTTCGTGTTTAGACGATGGTTCATCGGTGACGGGCAAAAAAAGAAGGTAACGTCAAACGAGGGAAAGGACCGATGTCAAGACTTACAGACAAACGAGTGAGTGCTCAGAGCGGACGTGGCCAAATGATGGTACAAGCTGATGAAGCAGTATTACAAAATATACGGTCGAAGAGAGTAAAGGGGGGACAGGATTCTGTTAAGACGATGAGGCGCACCCCGGATTCAAATAGATTTCACAGCTCAACCAAGCAGGACTTGAGCCGACGTCCCCATGCATCATGGACAAGGCGGCAAATTTCATTCACCCCATGCTCAAGTGGGCTGCCATGCCCCCGTCATGTGGTGGTCTGTGGTCTTCAACTCATCACATTCCAGGTCCAGGAACCACTCATGGCTGACAAGCCTCTTGGCCTAGCTCGGAACCTTCTCCTTAGGATGCAAAGCCGATGGGCGGCGCTTGGTCGTTTGGTGGGCAATGTCCTAATTGTTGACGGGATAAACGGAGCTCGACCAAGGGCCCCTGTGGCCGAGGCTAATTTTCGTTTCCACACCTCCATTTAAAAAGCCTAGAAATCCAGCCCCTGTGCCTTGGACATGGTTAGCAACTACGGTGAGGCAATGCGCCCCAATATCTTCTCTTACTACCTGTGTACGGGTATAATAGGGAAAGAGAACACGTAATGGTCGTTCACAACATGGGCGGAAGCACACAAGCCAGCAAGTTGCGACGAGCAGGTCAAGCTCTGTCAGCGTTTGACCTCTAATGTCTCATGCCAGGTGCAGCGAACCATGCAGCCACTCCTCCTCCATGTGTGTATACATACATGAGCGAGTGCAGTATTACGGCGCAGTGTCACATTCGCTAGACCAGCATGATTCATTATTCGTCCGATACTGACCAGCCTGAAAATGGTTCCACCTGCAGTGCGATTCCTCGCCGGACGAGTCGCGCCATCTTTGTACATAATAGACTCGACGGAGAGGAGGACAATTTCAACTCTGCGCAACGGCAGCGAAGGATGATACAGAGAAACTAGCACGGAGTACTCCTTATATACAGCCTTCAAGTGGTTTAGGCACTCCGTACGCACCGTCTACTCCCTTGTAGGCCTGTTGGTTGGAGTTTGCTCGAACGCATCAGGGGGGCCAGCCATTGCGGCACCTCGGTCACTCACCAAATTTTGCATCACAAAATATGGCGGCGGCCACATTGGACGGCCCAAAATTAGGGTCAGCACTAAATCTTACGGCGCATTAAAAGGTGTCAACTCAACCACGCAGCATGCCATGCCGAATTAGGCGTCCATCTCTAGTCTTCAAGTGTTTCTGGGGGGACGGACGTTGACGCCTCAGTGTTTCATCTGTGCTTTGTCGAGCACTGGCTCCCAGTTTTGGTAAGTGACACTCCGTGCACCAGGCGCCATGTACCTGCAAAATGTGGACCGGCTTTTGCAGAACATGCGCAACATTTGGGCACATGCACCTGAAGACTTGAAGAGTCTCCATCCATATCGGAGCTGGGCTCGAGCCGCGTTGCCTCCTTTCCCCGTCTTGCTGCGCCGCCCCTTTGGCAGGACTAACCAACTTGCCAGCTGAGGTATCAACAAAGGACGGCGCCACATAAACTCATTACGGATTGAGCCGAGAACAATACATCCATGTCTTATGCAAAAACTCTCTGGGGCTGTGCCTGGTAGCGCAATTGGTCGAGAATTTCGTCCATGCGTGTCGCTCCCTCCTGTTATGCGGGCCTGTTGATGGCAAGTGGGTCCATTATGGCGCTTCATTTGCTGATGTTTACTCCGTACTAGACCAGACACTTGTTATTCCTCCCCACGGAGTGCCGAGCATGCAAAGCTGAAGGAAGGGGCGCATCATCTTGTCGCCTCAGTTCTAGTACTATTTCGGTCAATTGGGCCTGCTCTACTCCGTAAGGAGTAGTTCAATTCTCCATTGGCGGCATCGCAAAACGACACGGCTCTGCAAACAAGGTGAATTACAGAATCTCCGTACTTGTACCAGTTTGCTGCCATCGGCTTTCGTCGTGCCGTCTGCCGGGGACAACATGCCACCTCGCTTGAGCGTGTGACACGACGTCCGCAGCGCTGGCCAGATCATTGTACTACTCTGCAGGAGCGCCCGTCAAGAAGAGACCGAACAAACCACACTCTGTCCCATTGTTTCCTTACATGTATGTACATTCTCCGTACATAAGTACGTAGTATTAATACTAGTAGGTGGTGTGTGTGGCGATGAACCGCGTCGGAAACGGTCTCTCTCACCAAGAGACCGGTCCCACCTGTGACCAAGTTTTGGGGGCTATGCGCACATATTACATCTCCATTCCTCACAATGCTTCAAACTGTTCTGTACATACGGTCAACACAGTCGCGTCATCGAATCCGCCAACAAAAAACACGAATCAAGCCAGGCCTCCCGGTTACCGACAGTCGTGAACATGAAAAGAATAAAACTCCATTATTTTGAATTACACTACGTATAGCGTACGCGTTTGCGACTAAAATGCCCGGTTCCCACTCCCATCCAAAAAAAAAAAAAAATTCCGTTGTCAAGTCACGTCCCTCTTGTGGCCGGAAATGAGCATAATGTATGTGTAATATTGTGTACTGTGTTGTGCCAGTTGTTTCCCTCTCACTGGCTGGTAGTCCATGCTAGAAACAGGAATAGAAAAGTACGATGCCGCTTAGGCTCGCCTTAATTGCAGTCCGCCATTCTCTGCGAGACGCCCAGTTGTTGCTCCTTTGTTCCCTCTGATGCGCCCGACTAGCTTAGTGCTCAAGCAAGCGCAAGCTACCCTGAACAACAACATTCTCGAGGATGGAACCAGGCGGGATGTCGATGGTGCTGCCTTCGGTAGCAACAATAATGACGGTTCCCTTCAAGGTAACACCACGGCCCAGGTTGACAGCGCCTGTAATGGTGAGGTGGTCCAGCTCGAGGACCTTGGGGATGGAGGGAATATGTTTCTGGAAATCAGAAACCTTCTTGAAGTCACCACCGAGCTTGATGAGGGGAGCGTCACCGAATCGAGCGGCGCTCATCTGTAGCTGGCCGTGCTTGAGGGTGTATAGATCCGACTTGACGAGCATCAGGTCGGAGCAAGTCTTGACCGGCAAGAAGCGCCTGCGAGGAACGTTGACGCCGTGGGCGTTGTTGAAGTGTCGGATGGCGGCACCAACAGCCGTCTCGAGTTGCAGAATGGAAATGTCAGACTCTCCTTTCTTGTCTCCAGGGATAGTCTTGCCGTTGGGGATAATCTCCATCTCCAACTCATCGTTCTCAACTACACGTTTAATAGCCTTGAGATTGAGCCAGATGTTGTTGGTGTTGAAGTACTTGAACTTTTTGATGGACTTGAACTCGTTGACGTGCTCCTTGGGGACCTGAGCGATTTCGAGCAGGCGGACGGAACCCTCGTAGTCAATAATGGTACCACCCTTGACGTCAGCCTTGGTCTTGTTGGTCAACTCCATAATGTACTCGGCCTTGGTCTCAACCATGTGCTGGAGAATGCGCAGGTCAACGACGGCACCCAGGTTATCAACATTGGACAGGAAAACAATCTCGATGCCGCGCTCAAGCAACTTCTCGAGAATGCCAGAGTTGTACAGAGACTCGAAAACGTCACCGTGGCCGGGAGGGTACCACTCGGAGATGGGAGAGTTGAATTCCTTGGGGACTGGCAATAGCGAGTCCTTGTAAATTCGGGGGTATCGGGACTGATTAAAGGTGAGAATATCGACATTGTGACCCTCGTACTTCTTGATGATGGCGGCAGTATCATCGTTGGTGTTGAACGAGTTCATGAGGATGAAGGGAACGTTGACACCGTAGGTACGGTTCAAGAACTCGATTTGGCGCACGGAAAGATCGAGGAAGGACATGCCGTCACGGACCTCAATGACGGACTTGGGGCCGACACAGCCCATAGAGGTACCCAAGCCACCATTGAGTTTCAAGACAGCGAGCTTGCTAAGGAAATTGACAGACTCTGAGTTTGCGAGATCCTCGTAGTCAACGACCTGGCCCTGAGCCGGGGGCGCAATGCGATCCCAGTCACTAGCACGGATTTGTCAGTTCACCGTCTTCTTGTTCCCTCTTGATTCAGCCCAGAGGCAAAAACATACACGGCATTGCCCTTGGCCTTGTCGTTCAAGTAGCGGCGGAAAAGAGCAAAGAAGTTGTCCATTTCAGTCTCGAACAGCTAAACGTGGCAGTGGTGGTCAGTCCGTCGCTCTGTCTATCTGCAGTGTTACATGTGAGCAGGTATAGTGATTACCTTCTTGTCATTAGGGTCCTCGACGGTCTCAGCGAGGTTGGTGAGGGCATTGCGCATCTGAGCAGCGGCAACATTGGTAGAGGTGTTTTCGAAAGCCTGTGGCAACTCAGTTAGCTGGTTTCCGCCAGATCGGGACAGCATGTGAGCCATGGTCGGAGAAAAGGCGTAGAGGCCGTGAGTAGGAAGGTGGGCGGGGATATGGAAAAAAGATCGAGGGCTCAGAAATCCAGCTGGAACGATAAAAGAAACTTGCGTCAAGGTCGGGGCATCCGCTATTTATACTGGCAATGAAAAAGTGAACTGGTTCTGCAAGGATCCTGGACAGTCCAATACTGCCATTGCTTCTGTCGAGGCTCAGCGACAACAAGATGAACTTGGCAGCCCTTGGGGCCTTCCAAGCTACTGAATCAAACAGACTCCTGAGAGCTGCAGGTCCAGCCATAGCCACACAGCTGTGTTGTGATGGTACAAACAAGCTCGAACAATGTCATGGGACAGCAGCTGGGAGCTCCCATGAGACAATGGTAGTGAATGCGATGTGTTGCGTTGCGTTGCGTCTCCGCAGCACGAGAACAATCGACCAGATTAAGAGGAGCAGATGGATAGTCGCAAACGCAAAGACGCAGGAGCCAGGATAGCGAGCGGTATACAGGGAGTGTTGGAGATAGAGAGGACATCGCAAGCTGAAGAGAGCTGAAAAGAAGCCTTTACTAACCATGTGGCTACGGGTCTTGCCATGATGACGTCTCTCGAAGCCATTGTCGTCGCCGCCGCCGCTGGCCGCAGCAGGCTTCAGGTGCGAGGGTAAAGCGCTCTTTACTATGCCAGCCATTTTGTACGTATAGTTCTCGTGCTTCGGGATATCAGGTGTGGCTCGAGGTCACTCGTAGAGTTTTGGGGAGGAAGCTGTCAAACCGACGCTTTTCACAGCAATTCGGTTGGAGAGTGAATGGGAGGTTCAGGAGTAATGAAGGACGATGAAGGTTGGAAATGTCGACAATAAGTGATGCCAGGGAAGGCGGGGCAGGGGGAGGTGGGGGGGGATGAGCTAGGTCACTTATTTAAAGAAGTTGAAGATTGGAGCTCCAGTCTCGACTCAGTTTGGGCCTGGACAACATTGAAAGTACCAAGTGAGCAGAGAGCTTGGGCTGGCCCCTACTTGGCGCTCTTTACGGAGTACTCGGTACGCATTGCTGGTGCAGAATCAATCAATCAAACAGTCAGTACCGAGTACACAGTACTCACTGCTGGTCAACAATTGTGGTTCCCTCCCTACCCCCCCAGTTGCCTGCCAGCATCTCAGCGTTGGAGGTGTCCACTAACAGGCTTTTTGTGGAGAGGCGGCGGCAGCAACGACTGGGAACATTGCGGGAACTGGCGACAGCGTCCAGGCCTCCAAGGTGCTCCCAGACTGCGGGACCTGTGCTGAAGCAGTGCTGGGGACCAATAGACCAGACGGCACTGGGCATTTACTCCAGCGTGGCATGTACATTCGTTTTGGAGCATCCATCAGTTTACATGCATCAATGGGCGACGACTCTGGAGAAATCTCAGCGGCCGCAAAGAGGGGCAAAAGGTTGACGTCAGAAAGGGGAACCTGACGAGCACAATGATGTACATACAGCACCGGATGATCGTTTCATTGTTCGAGCCAATGGCCATGGACAATGGACCCTTTACACCGTTGGCAATGACGAAAAGGGGCGCAATCTCTCTCCAACCTCCAACGGCTGGCATGGAGGTGGTGAGCCGTGTCCGTATTCTAAAGGTAATGTATCCATGTACTCGAATACTTGTCGACAATGGCAAGCCATGCCCATCCTGGATTGAAAACAAGTTTGCTCCATCAGGAACCCCTTGCTAATACGAGAAAAAAAAACTAGAAACGCAATATTAATTTATTTCTATCGCTTTTTTTTTACTCTTTCCGCGCCACATCGCAATTTTCCCAGCCATCTGACTCATTAAAGCTTCCTGGCTTTTGTTTAATCGCCCATCCCCACCACCATGGGGTCAAAAACGACATTGCAATAAAACGAATAAACGGGCCTAGGATGCGATTGATCCCGATGATACCATCTCGCAGCTCAGCCTTCTGGAGGGACCCCCCACACCGTCCTTGGGCAAATGCTGGCCAATGAATCAATTGATGTGCTTTATCCTGGTGCATCTACGCTGTGGCTGCCCCGAGCAAGTCAATCACTCGACGTCGTTCGTCTTGGTGAAATGCGCCGCCATCGTATTCATCGCAGTACATGTGCAAATAGCATCGTGTCGGGTCTGTATTGCAGAGTCTTGAGCTTGGTTGAATGAGTGCACACACATACACTCGCGGACTCGCCGCTGCAAGGCACGGCCAATGCTGGGCGCGCCATCTCGAACCATCGAAAGCCCAACAAATTGCAAATTCGAAGCCATCTGCCCGACTAGCTTCGGTGCAAGCTTCAAGCCATCGATGGATAGAAAATTTTTGCACAGGCACAGGCCTTGACTTGATCACTTTCGTCTTTCTCGCCCAACAACTCCTCCGTACGCAACTCCAAATCGCGAAGCAAGTCGTGGTGTTGTGGCCCTGGGTGCCTACTCTGCATGGTAGCGCTTCAAAACCTGATTGGACTCGTTTCCCTATCCTCACAAGTTGAGCGTCCAGGGGGGAAATGAAAACAATCTAAACAGTAATGCGTACATCAGCCATCCAACTGCCCCAATTTTTCGACTGCGTCAATTATCACTGATCCGGTGGCGCAGCAAAATGCACACTCAAGAGAAATTGAAAACGAGGCTATTTTTGCTGCCGCTTGAGACGAGAATTAAATCAATAATCTCGCGTCGCCTCCCAGCCTTGCCATATCTGTCCATCATCTTAGGGGCCGAAGCGGAATATTAAAATTGGCAACTGCTTGGTTGCCCGGGGTGGTTACTGAGTGCAGGAGTACTTATGGAGTACCACCAGTACATTGCAGGGCCGGCCTTTGATCAAAGTGTTGCGTCGAGGCTCGTTGTCCATTCTGCAGTGAGGCTGTGACGGAGTGAATCTGCTTCCTCTCATTTTCACAAGTGTAGTAGTCCTACTACTACGTCCATCTCATCTACCGAATACTCGGTAATTCGCAGCATTTGTTGTACATACGTACTGACGACTCCGTACAGGGTGCAGAGTACTTAAGTACCTAGGTACTTCAGTACTCGGAGACACTTTAATTGAAGGCCACTATTAATAACTTCTGACAGTCTAGATTCTCGAAGCCACCTCACCGGAAGCTGATCCCCGGACACGTGGGGGCTGCATTGGCCAAGTCGAAATCGCCCGGCCTGGGCCGTGTAAAAGAGCCATGAGATCCCGTATGCAACATTAACATGCAGGCTGGTCGTGTAAATGGAATAAGCACAGATATATATTGAATTTGCAGCGAGTGCCAACGTTCTGGACTCGCCAGGGGCAGGACGTTAGTCTCCTCAAAGCCAAGACCCGTAGGCAAACCGTCTTCTGTTTGTAGCGGAATGCGGGCATCTGTATTCTGTATGGAGTACAGTTGTTACTCTTAAATTGATTCTGTTTTCATACATACTTCCGCATGAACACGTCAACATTCTGCCAGATGAAGCATCAACTACGGCCACTGGCCACTGGCCACTGGCTGATCAGGCTTAGTCAGCCTTGGTGCGGACCGAGAACGACGTTGCATCCGTCTTCTCCATTGGCCGTTCCATCAAACAACAACATGTCTCTCGTCATGTTGTTGGCATGCAGATGGTCTCATGGCTTGTCCAAAAAGAGGCATCTTTGCCCATCACCAAGTGCTCGTTGCCGGGCCATGACTCGGTCGGGCATCTTTTGTTCACAGTCCAGCGATGCGTAATTGTGGCATCGACGTCGCTTCATGTGAAGTTTTAGGCCAGTTGCTTCTCTCCCCAAGGGCTAGGCATAAATGACTCCAGACCGCATCTCTTTTGCTCTCTGCAGTTCATCCTAGCCTTATTTTCATCTCATTGCCCCCTTGATCAGCACAGCAATCTCGGCCGGTATTTGCGGAAACGATCAGCATTAACGTCGTTGCATATATCCGCATAACCAGGGCGGGCATCCGTATCCACTCGGACCGACGTCCTCCCTTCACAGCACAGTCTACTCCGTACATACAGTTGTGACAACTTGCCTCGACACTCAACTCTTCATCTTTTTTGCCTCGAGATCTGTCCCATACCAGCCCGTCCAAACAGACAGTCTCACCGCCATGGGTTCTCTCCATGTCATGCCCTTTTGGCAGGTCAACTGTCCTCCTCATGAGTTGACCGCTGAGTGCCCCCCATTTCTCGCCCTTCTCAACGAAAAGGACCGCCGTATTGTTGGTATGCCAGATTCCGCCTTTAAGCTCCTCACATGGGAGCAGGTCTGCGGGATTGTTCGAGAGAACCGTCTCGAGGCCTTCCAGAGAACGCCCTCGGATCTAAGACGCTACAAGGCTTTCACTTTCAAGCTGGCAAAGCAACACGGCAGCGTTGCTAGCTTCATTCTGCAAGAACGATTGCGGTGGCAGACTCCTATCCAGCCACGAGGGTACCCTTTTCAGTACGCAGAAGACGTAAAGATTCTGTGGAACGACTGGCCCTACGGATTGGACAAGCGAGTCGTCCATCTTGTTGTGTGGACCAAATTTGAGCTCGAGGCCAATCAGACCAGCGGTGACTTGACCGACAAGGCGAAAGCAGAGGTTGACGCGTTTGTAACCAGGACATTCCGAACACGGGTCCCAGCAGAGAACGTACGTATCAAGGTCGAGCAGCCCAAACCCCGCTCAGGGCAGGCGTCTGCAGATAATGCTCCTGGGTGCTAACTCCTCCCTTCCTTTGACAGGTTGTGTGGTTCAGGAATTGGGCTGCGCTCAAGTCCATTCACGCTGTGGAACACTTCCACGTCATGATGTATGATCCTGACCCTGGGTTTGTCCGCGAGGTGACCAATGGCGACGTGGCCCTCTCTGCAAAGGCCGATTTGTAAAATGGCAAAGAGCCTATAAAAAAAACCGGTTGCCGCTCTTTTTGTTTGTCCTTTGGAGGCGTTTAACGGGCACAGCAGGATTTATTATACCCCGTAGAGCGATGTTTGATAAAATTTGGACTGGAAGGCGTTCTAGAGACCTAGGCTATTTATTACCCTAGAACAAGCGAAACATGTAGATACCCACGGCATTAGAAGACATGTTTAGACTGTGCATAGGTTAGGCATATATATGTGCTGCTACGACGGTGTCGTCATCCAGGCCATGTAATTCTGTTTTTAATTTTCTTTGTTTGTTTTTTTTTTTTCAATAATTTTTGACTTACTTTACTCTCACACCATATTTTCACCGCGGAACCACGTCCTCCCCGGGAACGACGTCGTTTGTATTTATGCGCAACTCCACACACGGAGCATCCGCAAACACCACAGCAATGGGCTTCTCAACCGCAATCCCGAGCTGCCAACCCTCCCCATCCGCCGGCGGCGTGTGATTCCGGACCAAGTGCGTCGTGATACGCAGGGCCATATCCGCCAGCAGGGCCTCGATTGTCTCAAAGGACGAGTCTGTCATGGCCTTGGGCCCCCAAAAACAAGTCAGCTAGCAGAACCGGCTTCGCGAGAAGAGAAACGAGTCACAGGGCGGAGTGTCCTCCCGACATACCTTGGCTATCACGTCTTCCAGGGCGCAGTAGCAATCGCGGGCCTCGTCAAACCGGTCCACCTCGACGTTGGCCACGACGCCCTGCTTGGCGCGCCTCTCGTTGGCATTCACCCCGATGAGGATGGGGATGCGCAAGTCGCACAGCGCCAGCTTGATGCCGCGCAGAGTCATGGCCCCGCGGGCAAACGCCGCCGTGGCCGTCAGGCACACGCCGGCCCCTTGCAGCGTGGCCTTTGGCAGGCGAAGCCCGACCTGGAGGCTCTTTACGGACGCGAGCTTCAGGAACGGCGGACCCTGGGCGGGCGAGGCGGGCTGCTGGCCGGACGTGTCGACGCCCGTGAGGTCGGTCCATATGGTGTCGAGGATGGCTGGCAGCGTGAGCTGTCGGCCGCTGCTGGTGCCCTGGGCGCCGCCGAGGCGTGCGAGCGTCGCGAGGACGGCCTTGCTCAGGAGGCCGTAGTGCACTGTGTCGGAGGCGAGGGCGTCCGACGTCGACGTTGGCCCGAAGGACTGGGCCATGCCGACGGCGACGGATACGGAGATGGGCTGGGGGCGGTCTTGTCGCCCCCAGGCGTCGCTGGGGCCTTGGATGGTGGATTGGATGTTTTGGACGCGGACTGTGGCGGGCGGTTCGCCCGTGGCGAGGAGCAGAGAGTGCGAGGTTCTGATGGGTATTGACATGGTGGTGAGGCAATGAGTGTGTCGTTTTTTGTGAGTTGGGGCTGCGGGTTGTTGATGGAGATTGTTGACGACGCAGGAGGAATGGGACGTTTGATATGATGTCGTGAGTTACGAAGTCATCTTTTTTATCTTTTTTTTTTGTGAGCCGGCGTGGAGCGGTGACGAGGCTTTTGAAGTTCTTGTGATGAGTGAGAAGGGAGTCATAATCCCATGTTTGCTAGTGGGGCATTTTGTGACGCTGCTCATACACACGGATTCGTCCTATGTACAGAATCCAAGGGAACTGTCCTTAATTATGCCACAGATTGAGTGTTGGCGCTGGATTCTATTTTCTTGCAATTATGCCTGCTGCGTTGGCCATTTTATGTCGGAAAGGTGTACGGTTGGAGATGACTAGTCGTACGTAAAACAACATACCCTATAGCACATGTTTGGCCGCAGAGGCATGTTGGAAAACCGAGACTTATTATCTGGAGAATACACAGGTGCTGTACACGAAGTGAAGGAATTTGGTCTGAAATATATTTACGATATACTGCGGCCGGTAGTATGCGAGTAGTGGTGGAAAGCGAAGGGCACTCGGTCTTGTAAGCAGAAGGAATGGTACTTTCTTTACAACTACTGTTTTATAGAATGTCTCGATGCATACGGCATACGTAGACAAGTTCACCCGCTAAAGCCAACAACTGTAGACGTTGGTACTAGAATTAATTCATCTCTCTTGCGGAGGTGCTGACTGCACAACACCAAGGGCAAACATAAGACGTTGTTTTACCGCAGTCGCATTGCCATGTCGTGATAACCCAAGTTGCGTCAATACCTAAGGTCATTGACTCGCGTAACTACTCTGTTAATTAGTATATAAAGGACAAACATCCAAGACGCCGGCCTGTCTCTTCTTGGAAGAAGAGGAAGCACTGACAGTGGTAGTCTGCTTCGCCGGAGTCAAGGAGGCTCGACTGGTGTTGGAGCCCGGTCAGAATAAGGACTGGGTAAGAGCAGCAGAGATGGGGGAACACGATCTACCATAATAACGACGCGCTCTATCAAAAATCGGTTAGCAAGAAGGTCAGATTTATCGCAGAAATCTACACTTACCCCATTAATTGGACCACTCGGAAAGGTCAAGTATATTGAGTCGGTCAACCAGAAGCTGTGTCGGGAACTGCCGCGATACTGGCGGCAGACGGACGAGCCTCCATGCTCGATACCTCATCCAAACCAAAGACCGAATTCTAAGCAGGTCAAGTAGGACGAGGTGGAGGAGGCGGCATCTGCAATCGCAAGTCAGCCAAAAGTCGACCCGATTCCCGCCAGATACTCACAGAAAGCCGATAGCCACCGGAGCGAGTAGGGTATTACTTACCAGGCATGGCATCGATTTCCTCTAGATTCAATGCTGTTGCCTCGATTAAATCACCAGTTACAGGGCCATGTAACAGAACCCACTGTATTCGCTGATGACGAATATGACCATTGTAAACCAACGCTGGAGCATGATCTATACTAACCATAGGGTTAGCCATTTAACGTATTATGGCTAGCAAAAAGAATAGTACTCACGCCACTCTGATATGGTGCCTCACACGTAACTATGTAGGCTATAATATGCTTTGTGATTTGCGTAACTTGATAGGGTAATGTATATTAGTATATATTAGTATACAGCCCAATACTGTGTTATCAAATTTTACGCTTGCACGACACTCGTATCATGCGTGTAATTCACTTGACTAATGAGCGATACAATTCACACCTTAACATATTGATATATATTAGCATATATTTAGTAACAAAAGTAAGCCCGCCGAGCAATTCACGTCAGAAACTCGCATCACGACAAAACCAGAACTGCTACAACCAGGCCAAGACAATAGCAACTCGCCTTGGCATAAATTAAACACTCTCTGCAGCCCGACCCTGAAACACCCCGTTCTGCTAGCTACACGTCCATCAACGTCAGGACAGCGGAGCGCCGGCCGTAACGTCGCAACGCCGACGGAACGGGCCCAGGTCGTGATCGGCACGGCTGCAACATGGTGCTCCGTGTGATTTGCGCAACTCGGCACGGCGGTTTGATGATGATGTTCTCGAGCGATGCGCACGTGGTTCATGCCATCCGCAGGACAGACTAGGTTCCCGCTTGTCAGATACTTCACGATGCAAGGATGCTGGATATGAAAGTTGCTGCCGTTATGCGCTCCTCCAACTCGCGCGGCACCAGCCCAAATCCTGCACAAGAGCAATAACAGTTGAAGCAGACGCACCATGATCCCATTCCCGAGCCAAACGTTTCCCAAACCACCCCTACCCATGAACCACGCCCCTGAGGCGCAAGTGGAGAAGAGTCATCCGTTGCCTCGCGTCGGGCATGATGCCCAAGTGAGCCAAGGTCGCCGTCTCTCCCACAGTGTGGCACCCTCCTTCTCTCTTCTTGCATTTGGACATGTTGCCGCTTCCAAGTCGTTTGTTTCTCGGCGCAAACAAGCAAACAAGCACAATCACAATCACAATCATGCAAGGCTAACCCACCGGCACGGCCCCCTTGTCGCCCTCGACTCCGTCCCAACTCAATGGGCGATCGGCGCAAACGACAACCATGTACAATGTCCGTATGTAGTTTGTAGATAATTCCGTTTGGTGCGCTTTTGAGCATCCCTGGGCAAGGTACCAAAAGGGTCCATGTGCGGTCTCTTCCGGATAAAGAAGCTCAAGATGCTATCCGCCATTCTCGAAGCCTCTTGGCCCCAAGGGCGATCGGCCAGCAAGCTAACCAGAGTCTGGTGTCTCCACACACAGGTCGATAGTCCGCGACCATGAGAAGCTTCCAAATTGTTGGTGACGTACCGGCCATGCGTGCCTTGACCTGAACCCCCAGCGTAGGGACCGCTGGCCATATCGCGCTCCCGGGGTAGAATTGTACATGCTACTATTCCAAAGAAGCTGTTTTTTTGCCTCGGCCACCAAGCATTGGCATGTAGCCGTCGCTCCCTCACGGAGTCACAGATCCAAAGGCTCTTGTTTCGGCACGCGCAGGAGGAGCTGCGTAGCCCGGGTACATGGTGCCGGGGCCTGATAACCAGACGGATCATCACAATTAACTTTTTTTTCTGCAATGCGAATTGGCCATTTCGAGCTGTTGAGACAGGGCCGCAAATGTACCAGCAACATGAATATGCCGTGTTTTGAATCCGGCCTCTGCCCAAATGCAGATCGAAACGGAATATTCCAGTCGACCATTGACGTGAAATAAGCCACGGCGTCCAGGGCAGCAACGGCCCTGGTCAGGTGGTTTTGAAAAGCGGCAAGAGCACCATGCTAAGACTATTGCCAAACCGGCCCAAGTTGATCCGGAAATAACGCCACGCCTTGTTTAGGAAAAGAAAAAGTCACACGGTCAGCCTCCAACTTGTAGCGTCATCATCACATGGACTCGAAATATCCACAATTGATAAACTAAAACTCTGTACTCCGTACCACGTCTACTACGTGCTTCTAGCTACGTATGTACTACTGAAGCAAGTATGGACGCCGCAACGGCAATTCCGCCATTTCCACCGTGTTCTGAAGGCTCCCCAGGAGCTCGATACAAGGCACAATGGAGCCGTTGGTGAGGTTGACGACTGTTTTCCCGGCAAACGATGGAACCTTGTCG